TTGGTGTCAGAATGTTCAAACAATCCAGATGTTTTTATTATGCTCTTATGTCATCAGACATGATAGAAATGTATTATTTTACATTTGCTGGAGTAAAGAAATAAATAAAATGTATTATGATGATTAGTTTTACTGTGCTGTGCTTTTTTTTTTATCTAATTTTTTTCAAGACAAATATCATTATGAAGTATCGCTACCAATATTTCTGGTTACTCTACATTACATGATTGATTTTATTGAAGAAACACACTTTTTTTTTTTTTTTTTTTACTAAAATGTGCCATACAGTAGAGACACATAGCTACAGATTATGTTATATACATAGATTGTGAAATGCCATGTGAAAAGATAAGGATTTAGATAACTTTTTCTTACACTCAAATTTTCTATTTTTTGATCATATTATATTTCATGATTTTTTTTTCTTTAGTCTTTGAAGTACCTGTATTTTACATAATATTATATCTTTGTCTAATTAGTCAATTTTTTAATTTTAAATTGGCTTTATGAATGTCACTTAGTATGTAAGTAGTTTTCGTATTGAATACTTTTACAGTTTATTTAGAAAATCCCTGCTTTGCCACTTTTTCTGCGTGAGTAAAAATATTAATAAACTCTCTACACCTCTGCTTGTGATTGACCACTGCACACTAATAAATAGTGGTAAATAATGCCTCTAAGTAAAATACTATCCAGAGACGTTAAATTAATATAACGCTATACATAACAGAAAACACAACAATAAAACATAGTAGTGGTTGCATTATGGTGAAGGGATGCTTTTCTTCAGCATGCAAGGGGAAGGTTGTCTTCCAAAGATCAAAGATTTATGGAGCTAATATAGTGTAACTAACTGGCCAGGGCTGCATTAGATTAGATCAAAGCATGTTCTTTTGTTAGGCTGCCCCAGTTAAATTCCAGTTTAATTCGATTGCAGGATTTGAATATTAATGTTTAAAGACACTTTATCTATATGACCTCTTTTGCTAAGAGGGTTTTTTCTCCAGTCTTTAGATGTTAAAAGCAGGTAGAAACTTAGCCAAGAAAAGGTTTTAAAAGCTATAAAAGGAGTTAGTGGACAAAGTACTGTCTCACTGGTGCCGAATACAAATGAACACCATTTATGAAAAAAAAGTGAAAACCATCTATCATGGTTTTTCTATTTCAACATAATGCTCTGCTGTGTGATAGTCTGTCAGATAGAATTTCAAACAGATTTTATAGTGTGTGGTTTTTATCCATGACCTCTAAAGCCCTGGTTTAGTTTCTCATAAGACTGCTTGATTTTGTATATTAAATAATAAGCAATCAGTACTAAGCCACACAACAGAGGCAAATGCAGGGGCTCATTATGTGGTATGGTGGGCTTCTATTCATCCCCTGCCCAATGCTGGCAAGAACAGAAGGTCCTGCACACTTTAACATCTCTCTGTCTCAAAGACACAAACGTGCGCACACACACACAAATCCAGGCATGCCTCTTAATAACCCCGCCATTCAGTGAATCTGCTCCCACGTCTGGGTTCTGGCTTCAGTCACAGTGAAAATTGAACCCTTCAGGTATCCTGTAGCTACTTGCCAAAGGGAACTGGGCACAGATGGTGCCTGAGAAGAAGTGTACCTATGTCTTGGAGATTGTCCTATTAGCTATGTATTTTTGATACTGAATTACTACGCTAACCGTTTAAAATTTTTGCTTTTCTTTATATTACTTGGATACTGTGTAGTCTCATTATGCTGAATTGTTTGCTGCTTTAAAAAGGTAGAACTGAACAAACTAAAGTATCACTTATTAATTAAGATTGTTAGGTTATCAACGTCTTACATCATGGGGAGCATGTATAGAACACTTAATGCAGGCTATTAAACCACTGGGGATAATACATTATTACTGCAATGTTCTACTGCTAATGTGCCCTGATATGACCATAATCATTCACTAACAATGATTAACCAAGCTTTGTTGGTCCTTGCAAGATGGAGCAGAAAGAGTGACTTCTTAGCCTGAGTGATTTAATCTCTCTATGCTTCATCCATGTGGATGCAGGCGGTTTTTAGAGAAGAAAAGCTGGTTGAATCGCTGCTCTAATCAATAAGCCTTTAGCTACCAAAGAAGCAGCTGTCGTCAACGTTTGTCCTGGAGACCTTGCTTTCACCCTGGCTGTCTGGTTTTCCCATCGTTGACTCTCACATCTCCTGCAGTTGTGTCATCGGCTCAGACAGGTGGACTTTTGCACACAGAGCCTGCTCAGAGCTTTGTTAAGTTTGTTCCTCCACAGATGCATTTTGCAAACATGGCAGTGAGTCGTGAAATGAGATTTCTCTGCTATCATTACTGGACCGAGAAAGAAAGTCACATCTCAGTCTGTGGGAATGCCTCAGTGCTTCTCCACTGCTTGCTGCTTCTCAGTACAGGGATGTCTAACCATCACTAAGACAGGTCGATAGGACTGAGCTCTGTAAGCTGCCTGCCGCCTCTACAGGAAATATTGTATGCTGTAATGAGATGTAGATATTAAGCTGTTAACGAGGATGGGTTTAGGATAAGCAGTGCTAGGACGTGATTAGTGTAATAATCATAAAGAAAAAGCTTTGTTTGCATTAATTTTACAGCAAGACAGTCTTTGATCTGGTTAAAAGGCTGCTAGGCAGCAAAAAGTCATCAGAGAGCACAATTCCCTCCGCTGTAATGTCTTCTGAACAGTGCCACCAGATTTCTGCTGATCTGCAATGAGTGGCATATTGAGCTGGACTGCATTTTAACATTAACTTCAGACTCAATGATCTTAGGTCGCTGGCTATAAGGTTGCTAAAGCCAGAGGGAAAACTGTCAGACAACATGTTTTTTTTTTCCATTTCGCCTTTCTGCCTTATCCTTGGAAAACAGTTTAGGTATGCATGTTCATTTGATGTTTTATTAAAGTTACATTAAATTGTTCATCCCATTTTAAGCATCTTAATTCTATGTGTTAATGTTTGTTGTGTTTAATCCTGTCATTTCTTATGCTTTATTTTGTTTACTATTTAACAAGGAATAAATACCACACTACAAATAATGAGTTGTATTCCAGACCTAGTATCTGATGGACTACTGTATATAGTACACAGACTGTTTCTTTGATATGAAAATACAGTTTTTGTGTCAAATATTGTAGATATGTGACCACTTCAGTTCAGTGTCTGTCTCAGTAAGACTAAAAAACTTTTACTGAAGGATTATGAAACAAAAACATAAAAAAAAAATTTCATGCCATGGATACAACCAATGCACAAAAAATGGAATAAACAGCCTTATCACTTAACAAACCTGTTATAAGTGTGTCTCCAAGGTACTGCGCTGATTGGAAAGTTCTTCTAACATATTTTTTTTTCATTCAATTCAATTCAATTCAGTTTATTTATATAGCGCCAAATTCACAACACATGTCATCTCAAGGCACTTTACAGTTCAACCAGATCATACAGTCAAATTGATACAAAGTTTTCTATCTAAGGAAAACCAGTTGATTGCATTGACTCATTGACTCAAATACAATCCCCCACACTAAGCATGCTTGTAGCGACAGTGGAGAGGAAAAACTCCCTTTTAACAGGAAGAAACCTCCAGCAGAACCAGGCTCAGTGTGAGCGGCCATCTGCCGAGGCCGACTGGGGTTCAAGGAGACAGAAGCAGAGATACAAAAAGCCGCTGTAAAAGGCGGCCCCGTCCAGGAAACACACAGCCAGGCAGACGAGCTCCAAGGCAGCTCCCATGCCAGAGGACGAAGAGAGCACATCCACTCAGTCACGGTCAGAGAAACAGGACCACACTGGAAAACAGGCCGATCTCCAACATCTATAAACAAGCCAAACAGGAACAGACGAGGCAAAGCTACTCTGAGGAAAAGCAGAGAGAGCAGAAGGTTAGAGATTGAACTAACAGATTCTGCAGAATAGGAGAACAGAGAGAGAATGAAGCAGAATGATGAAATAGGGGTCCCTATGTCCTCCAAAAGTCTAAGCCTATAGCAGCATAACTATAGAGATAGCTCAGGATAACCTGAGCCACTCTAACTATAAGCTTTATCAAAAAGGAAAGTTTTAAGCCTAGCCTTAAAAGTAGACAGGGTGTCTGCCTCACGGACTAAAACTGGTAGTTGGTTCCACAGGAGAGGAGCCTGATAACTAAAAGATCTGCCTCCCATTCTACTTTTAGAAATTCTAGGAACCACTAGTAAACCTGCAGATTGAGAGCGAAGTGCTCTGTTAGGAACATAAGGACCTATCATATCTCTGATATATCATTGAATATAATGGCAAATAAATCTAGACTTTATACACCCAGATTTGTGATTGATAAATTCCATTCCATTTTCTCCTGCTTTATGCGGGGCCAGGTTGCAGAAGCAGTAGTCTAAGCAGGGATGCCGAGACTTCCCGATCCACACACACCTCCCCCAGCTGCTCTGGGGGGATCCCAAGGCTACCCCAGGCCAGCTCAGAGACATAGTCCCTCCACTATGTCCTGGGCCTTCCATGAGGCCTCCTCCCAATAGGACATGCCTGGAACACCTCCCGAGGGAGGCGACCAAAAGGCATCCAGAACAGATGCCCAAGCCACCTCAGCTAGCTACTTTCGACATGGAGGAGCAACGACTCTATTCCGAGCTCTTCCCAAGTAACTGAGCTTCTCACCTGACATCAAAGGGTGGGCCCAGCCACCCTGCGAAGGAAACTCATTTAGGCCGCTTGTATTCATGATCTTGTCCTTTCGATCATTACCCAGATCTCATGACCATAGGTGAGGGTGGGAACATAGATCTACAGTATTGTTAAATCGAGATCTTTGCCTCTGACCGCAGCGACCGCATCACTGCCAACGGCACACAGATCCGTCTATCAATCTCACGCTCCATCCGTCCCTCACTCATGAACAACCGAGATACTTGAACTCCTCCACTTTAGACAAGGACTCCCCACTGACTTGAAGATGGCAGTCCACCTTTCTCAGGTAGAGAACCATGGCCTCAGATTTGGAGGTGCTGATCCTCATCTCAGCCGCTTCACACTTGGCTGCAAACCACCCCAGTGCACTCAAGTTCCTGGATGATGAGGCCAACAGGACAACATTACCTGAAAACAGCAGAGATGAGATCCTGTGCTTCCCAAACCGCAAGCCCTCCGGTCCCTGGCTGCGCCTAGATTTCTGTCCACAAATGTAATGAACACAACTGGTGACAAAGCGCAGCCCTGGTGGAGATCAAAATGCACCAGGAACAGGTCTAAGTTATTGTCAGCAATGCGAACCAAGCTCCTGCTGCGGTCATACAGAGAACAGGACACCCCTTAAAAGAGGGCCCTGGACCCCATTACTCCCTGTGCACCCCCCACAGGGCCCCCCGAGGGACACGGTCAAACGCCTTCTCCAGATCCCCAAAACACATGTCTATTGCTTGGGCAAACAAGCCTGAGCACCCGATGAAGGGTATAGAGCTGGTCCAGTGTGCTGCGACTGTTAATAAATTGTTTTCACTAACCCTGGATGTTGTTCAAACATTGATTCCAAAATTCTAGATGCAAAACCATCCCTTTTTTAACATTAATCATTTGCATTAAGGCTGCCTCTTCCTTTCTTGTTTTTCTTTTCAACGTTTTGCTTTTAAATCTTTATTTTTTTCACAAAGGTAGCCATTGTTTATTTTTAATATCCATTTTCAGAGAATGCCAAAGGGGAATGTTTGACATTGTTTGATATAGTTTTCTGAAGGACCCTATTGGACTTTTTTTTTTTTTTTAAACTAAAGTTACTCATCTTCCAATGTCAGAAGTAGATCTTTGATCTGTCCAATCACACCTTTGTTGTCTTTTTAGAGCAGGATGAAAGAAAAAAAAACAACATAAATTTTGGATATTTTAGCAGGGTTTCCCATATACGAATATATTTGCCAGAGGGCATGTTTTGAGATCAAAGGCCCAGCTGTCAGCCTTGAAGGCTTTACAGTGATGGCAGATGATGATGGATTGAATGACTCCCAAAATCTGATCAAAGGTTGAGCCTCAATATTCATGATTTGTTGTTTTTTTTTTTTTTATTTGAAGTTTATTAAAGCTCTCAGTCTGTTTTTGAGATGAATGTCTGTTTAAATCAGTAAAAAAGTAGAGTCAGTTTGTGAAATAGCAATCTCAATCAACTTGAAATTTTCAGTTTTTCTGAGTAATTGTTTAAATGCTTTGGAAATATTCATGTTTGCCGCAATATTGCTGTATGGGCCTGCTGTAAAGGTCAGAGAGAGCATTGTCCAGGTGGTGCCAGTTGCTTCCTGTTGTTCCTTGTGGAATAGCAGGATGTGGTGCCATGCCAGCCATGCTGTTTGCCTTGAACTGGTACATTCTCCTATAAACCCCCCAGTGTTTCTGCATGAGAAAGACAATCTATATTGGAAAAGTCTACGTCCCAAAGCAAGCAGCTTTGGAGCTTTTGGGGAAATTTTCAGTTGTGCAATTGAAATGTTTTCTTTCCTGGTTTTTAAATCCTTCATTAATTAATTACATTACATTATTGGCAACGTTTTGCTATCTTAAATGATACCTTAAAACCTAAAATAAAATTTGAAAGATTCCTTTAACGCTTAGTGAGAGGTTGCATTGCAACAAAATCTAAACATTCTAATCATCACTAAACATATGGACATAACAGTTATAAGAAATACATACAGAATGCACCACATTAAGCCAACTCACCCTTTCCAGTGTATTAAGCCCATTTCATTTTGTATTACAGGTTAAAATATTATTAAATATATTGTTATAGCCTCTTCGTTATTAGCATTTTTTAATGGAATTTGCTTCTTCACTATGAGTTTTAGTCTTAATGTGGAAGAGGAAATGCCACTTTGAGTTTTAATCAGGCAACGTTGTTTAATCTCTCTGTAATAACTGCAGTAGATTGCAGTCCGGATATAATACTGAGGTCAGAAATTGGCACAATTTGAGCCAAAAAATTAATATCAGGATTATTGGTCTGCATGTAAAATCTCCAATATAAGCAAGCTGACATAAACACCCCATTTCTGTTTAAAGTTTTTCTTAATAACCATTGGTTTAGTTGTTCTCATTCGCATTATTGTTGACTATTAATCTCAGTTTCACAAATATTACTTGATCAAACCTTTACTAGTATTATACACAACTAAATAAGTAAGAAAAGTGTGTGCTGATACTGTATCAGGTTAAAATTGATATCTGTCAATACTTAACACTTATATATATGTATTATATCAGATATTAAAACAAAACATACCATAGGTTACAGCTAGATTTGATTGGTTTGTCAGTTGGTACAAAATAAAACATAGCGATCAAAAGTATTTAAGCTATTCGGATATGGTGAAATGATGAGATAATTCTACTTAGCTTTTTGATTGAATCCATAAAGCACACATATAATCACTTCATTCCTTGTTTTAACCATTTTTTGAGGGGCAGCATAATGGGTTAATAGATATAAGAGCACAATGTCAGATAAATTATTCCTTTTTTTTCTCCAAAATTATTTTTTTGTTTCTTAAGTATTTTATAGAAAGATCAGGTAGTTTTTTCTCTTGATTTATTTGTTCTATTTTACGCTTTTGCTTTGAATGCTCTTTGAAGTATATCTTCCTGGCTTTTCCAGATAGCCTGCTCCTTTGTTTCCATCAGGAATAATGAGTCAATTTGTTTCAATGGGCTGTGTAAGAGCAGAATGTATCTCTGCGTTTGCTAATAAAGGTGCTTATTACTCCAAGACCAGCCAACTATCATTAATACCTGTCACACAACTACGTTACCAATTTACCTCCTAACCTTTTTTTCACCTATTTCTCTGTACTGTTCTGCCCAAAAAACGTTTCACAATCCTGGCTACCTTTTCTTCGTCCTCATTTGTATTTTTCCCAAATTTGCTTGGAGGGAGCTTTCAGAAAATGCTGGACTTCAGAGCCATAAATTGCTCTCCCTCCTGTGGTGTTTGGAACTGATCTACTTCAGTAACTGTCTTGGATTTTTCTTCCTCCATTCCTTTAACTTTCATCCTTTTTCTTCTTGTCCAGTGGTTGACATCAGCAAAAAGAGAAGAAAAGCCCCTGCAAGGATGGGGAGATTCATTATCTTCTCCTCCCGCTGTGCAAATTGGGCTGTCACTGTCTACGTCGTATCACTTGATAATTGCATAGTTCTTTAACTAATGTATATTCTAACCTTTTCATACTGAACTTTTTAATTTTCTATGTTTTTTGTTTTGTTTTTTTTTGCTTGAATCATCAATTCTGCAAAGATCTGTAATCTATTTTATTATCATAACTTATTCAAAGTTGACAAAAAAATGCGACTGCCCCATACATGTTTTGCTGCCTTCTTTAGTTTCACTTTGGTTTTTGTAGTCCTTTTATAGCTTACCCCGTATTTGAAGCTACATTCCATACGAACTGATTGCGCTCGCCTGCCAAAGTGAGGCTGGGTGATGTGTCTGGTTAAATGATGGGGAGGAGGCCTTTATAAAAACCCTTGGCCCACATTGGGGACAGAATGGGGGACAGAACGGAGGACAGCATTAATCTTCAGGGTTCAAGCCTATAGTTGTCACCCTGTGCAGGTTTGAAGGGGGTCGAGGAGAGCTAAGACTGACTAAAGACCTCCCTTCTGAACAAAGGCACCCTGTGTGTTTGAAGCAGAAAAGGCAAGGATTCCACTATTCAGCCCTACGCTTTACTTCTGATAACTCATCTGTTTTTGCAGAAGTAATTATTTTTAAAAATTTGAATTTTTTATTAAATAGTCATTTAAATAATAGTAGGGAAATGGTCAACAGGGACACAAAAGGATGTTTTCAATGTCAAGAGTTTATAGTTTATGTCAGTTTATATCAGCAACTTTTGCTTTACCACTCATGTTTAAGTGGCGGTCACAGCATGTTCAGAACAAAACAGATTAACAGTGACAATATCTGAGGATGTCCCGAACTCTGAAACATCAACATTTGATTCAGAATAAAAGATGGCATTTTTCATTGAACAGTTATTTAATCCCAAACTGTGAGAGAAAAAAAATAAAATTGACCAGCTTTTATCCATCAGCTCCAACAAGTGATTTGTTGTTGAAAAGCGGAATTTATTTTTTTTTAATTCTTAATGAATTCATCCATAGTTTTCACTTTTTTTTTTTAATACACCAAATGATAGTATGGGCTTTGAAGCATTACTTTTTGATTTTATAAACAATATCAGTTAAAGATATTTGTTATGCTTTACTGTGTAACCCGGGGTAATCTTCTAATTTCTGCAACTGGTGTTAAACCATAATCAAAATGTCATTGTCCAAAGAGCTTTAGTGTTAATATTAAGAGAACAAAACAATTTAAAGAATAGAATGATCTATTGTGTTCAGGGATTAAATGATTTGATAAAAATGAATCATGAGCTGACAAAATTATTCAAAGTACACTATTTTACTAATCAAATGGATTATTAGATTCAATTGTATTTAATTTAAATCTAATTCTATTAAGAATATTTGTTTACATAGTAAAAGTTCCATTCAACAATGGTAATTTTATCATATTATTTCTGTAAAATCAAAATGACATTGTTAGACGTCATTAAACAAGCAACATTGAGGCTTATGGGAAACCAAGTCTGGTTAAGAAGTGAATATTATATGTGTAAAAGCAGAATGAGGGATCAACTCCAGACTGTCAGTGAAAGGATTATTTTCCTTTTCCCTAAATCAAATTCCATTTCTGTTCCGCCTCCATTTGGTTTGGACGCTCCCTATGGCCTCTCAAACCTCCCACTAATGCAATTAAGATCTATAAGCTTTTCCCAGGAATAAAAGGGGCTGAAGACGGATTCCTCCATGCTTCACTGAAGTTGGGGTAATCTGTGTGTTTGTGAGGGAAGATGGATTGATGGAGGGGTGGAGCAAAGGAAGCTAATAACAGGCATCCCCCTGCCCCCTCTCCATGGAAACCATTTCTCACAAACTAACATAAAGAAAGCGTTTTAGTTGTGTTTTACCCCCCTGATAGACATTTAGCTGCCACGGAAATGCCTTTGTTGAAAACAGAATGAAGTCAGATTATTTGGGCCCAATAATAGCTTTTAGGCTTTCACTTTAAACCTTCTTAAAATCACAGAGCTGTCACTGGCGCA